CATTCAAAATATGACTGAATATGGCATGTGTCGAATGTCAATATCTAGAAAATAAATGTCCTACTTAAATAATAGCCTCTAAAGTTAAATTGTCAATGCTTCATCCATAAAAAATTGCTCGCTCATTGTTTAAAATCATTAAAAAAAAAACCCGCAAAACGTGAACGCAGCATGTGATATAACTTATGAAGTGAAAAAAACATTACCAACAAATGTGACATAATTAAAAAAGCTCTTCGATTAACTTAAACTACACTACATCGTGCTGAAAAGTGTGATATACTGCAGTATAACACAAATATCTCCATTAATACATAAGAAACGTAAATGATTCCTCAGTCAAAATCTGCACTCGTCATCAACTAAACGCCACATTACTACCAAAACATTGAGAGACAATAGTCGCCTAAAATTGCCATTGACGCCCTTTCCCAGAAAATCGAGTCATCCGAACCAAATATACGACAATCAAATTAACGTAATCGCTAGTTGGGCATACCAATTAGTGCAATGGATAGATAATATCCATCGGAAAGCGGCATAGAAGTCAGAATGCATGAAACCACTCATCGAGAATAAAATTATATAAAAAAAAAAAAACAAGAAATTTAAAACTAACAGGCTCAGAGTCGAGTTTAACAGAGGGACCAAAGGAGCCCTCGCCGGATAGAAGTTGCCGCAGCCTCGACGGCAAGCTTGATCTTTGCGTAGTCATCTCACCACGTCTTCTCGACTTTCAACTACTGTAAAAAGGGGGGGAAAAAAACAAAAAAAAAAATGAAAAGATGCAATCAAAATTAAGAATAAAGAGAACCGATACAATCAAACAGAGCAACAGGAGCATCAAAAACCCTAACACTGAAGTCAAAATAATTGCAATGGGTGTGACACACAAAATATGGAGTGAATGAGTTAGAGAGAGAAACGAAGAGGAGCGGTACCTGAGGAAGAAGATAGAATGAGAACGCAAACGCGCACATCCGAAAATTGGTGAGTGTTGAACAGCAAGAAGCAAATCGATGGGGTTTTGAGAGGAAGAGAGAGAGGTGGAAACCGCGAAACGATGGGAGAAAAGGAAGAAGAGGACAGAGAGAGAGAGAGAGAGAAGGGGCGGGGCGGGGTGGGGGTCGCTAGCCTAGCCGCGAGTCGCTGTATTGTTACGTATAAATGTGTATAATTCTGAATAGTGAACCCTTGGAAAGGAAGAAAAGTCGATATATATATATATATATATGGTGGGAAGCTGACACCAACTCCTTTCTTCCACAGATCTCCCGTTCATCACATTTCTCCTTCAATAATAATATTCCAAATAAATACTTTTATTCCTTAAATTTGTTTTTAAATAATTCCTTTTTTCTTCTAATTTTCACTATTTAATTAATTATATTTGTAGTAATTAGGAGTGAATATTACGATGATTGTTGTGACTTAATATGTACTGAATAAATATGAAAATATTATTACTAAATTTAAATGAAAAATAGAATTGGAATTGAAGGTTCTATCTTTATTGATATTCACAACAACCTCAATTGTAGGTAGCAGATTTTGGTCATTGCATCAGCTCGATGTCAAAAAGGCCGTTCTTCATGGAGACCTACATGAATTGGTTTCTATTCGTCCTCCGCCAGGGTCTCGAGCTCAGGGGGTGGAAGGGAAATTTTGAATATGTACCACTCAAGAGTGTGAATAGATATGAAAATATTATTACTGATATAGATTTGAGAATGAGAAATAAAATTGGGATTTAAGGTTCTATCTTCATTGATATTCACAGCCTCAGTTGCAACTAATAGATCTTGGTCACTGTATCAGCTCGATGTCAAAAAGGCCCTTCTTCATGAAGACCTACACAAATTGGTTTCTATTCGTCCTCCACTAGAGTTTCGAGCTCAGGGGGAGGAAGGGAAAGTTTGAAGGTGAAAAAAGGCGAGATATGGTCTCGTATATATCTCTCCTCGGCTCCTCGGGCTTGGTTCGAGATATGAAGTTTGGTTATGACGAGATGGGTTTCCAGAGAAGGAATGTTGATCATTCCATATTCATAAAAAGGAAATAAGAGGAAACTACTGTTCTCCTAATGTACTTAGTTTAGAACTCGAAAATTCACAAGTCAAATTATTATATTAGTCAGAAAGGCAGCTAGTATGCAAGTCGAGCGAGCTTTCATTAATACTAATCAAAGTCGAAAAGCTAAAGTCAGAATGAGCATAGAGATGATAGCCGCTTATCCATGAGCTCGATAGTCTTCCTTAAAACCGCTACCGATTCTTGAACAGAAAGCGGTATGCTTGCGAATACTATTTCTGGTCGAGACGTGTTAATGAAATCCATCCTGTGAACACAAAGTCTCGTTCATTATGTGAATAAATAGAGACTACTGTTACGGTTTCGAACGTAACTTCGGGATCAACCTCAATGAATAATGGCGTAACGGGCTTGGTATAGATCCGCAGCCCGCTCTGGGTCTTTAACCGAAACTAGGCATGGAAAAGTTTGATCAACGTCCTCCTCTCCTAAACTGAACCGGAACCGGAACCTTTATAGAATGAAAGAATCAGAATTAGATATTCCTTTACAGGAAAAATATAAACTAACTAAATGTTGATAATAAAATAAAATATACTCCTAAATCTAATCTTGGGAATAAAATAAAATATACTTCTATTCAAAATTAACTGATGATGAATATTTAAGATATATTCTCTCACTAATATATTATTCAAATATTAAATATTACTAAATCAATATTCTAACTAATTCAAACTAGAAATAAGTTGCACTAAATTCTGACCGGTTGAAGAGAACTCTAAGTTTAAATCGATCACAAGGTCGTAAGTGATTTTTAGATTTAAGCACTAATCGTGATTTAAAATAATTTAATGTGAGGTCCCACACTAGGTGGAGAGGACAACGAAACATTCCTTGTAAAGGTGTAGAAACCTCGTCCTAATAGATGCGTTTTAAAATTATGAGATTGACGATGATACGGGTCAAAACATACAATAGCTACTAGCGGGAGGTTTAGACTGTTACATTTAACCTCTTTATTTTGTATCGGAGAGTTTCGAGAGATGTTTGTGATTGTGGATTTTGGGCTTTGCAACTTGTTAGATCAATCGTTACTACGATCTTTCTAGTGTTAACAATTTGTTCGTTCTTATTCACTTTCATATAAAAAGAATAATAATTTACAAACGAACGAGAACAAACACGTTTTAGTAAGAGTTGTTTTTAAAATTTCTTATCCGTCAAAAGTATTATTGAAACGAAATTATAATATTTTCATAAAAAAATTGTCAACCATCAAAAAAAAATATATATATATTGTTTAACATTTTTTTAAACACCAATAATATTTTCAAAACGTTTAGAAGTCAATATTGATATTGTTGGATGATGGAAGTCCTACATCGGCTGATTTAGGAAATGATCGTAGATTTATAAGTGATGAATACTAACTTAATTGGTATGAGGCCATGAAATTTATACTCAAAGTGAACAATATCGTACCATTGTGGAGAGTCGTGTTCGTTTAGCATTTTCATTCAAAATAAAAAAATAAAAAATTAACTTGATTTAAAAAAAAAAATACATTAATCAGTGATTATTTTAATATATTAAAATGCCGTATAACACCTTCTTACTTTCTTGTAACATTATTGTATAGCCTAAACAAACGTGGGCGGGCTGAGGAGTTGGCACGTGCACAAAGTTGCTACATGCGTTGGCTCTGTCCCTGCTCATAAGATGCAACCATAGCCCCATTCCATGCGCGCATAAACCATGGACGAGATAAGAGCTTCAACGCCGCCGCCGCCGCCGCCGCCGCAAGACGAGGGAGCAGGGAGGTTTTCTGGCTCGAAGGAAGAAGCGTCGGTGATGGATCGCGTTAAGAAGGGGTGCAGGGCCGTTTATGCGTCTTCTCAAGAGGCACTGCGTTATGTGAAAGCTTTTTTCGTTGGCTGGGTTGGTTCTGTTACTATTTTGAATTGTGATTATTTGAGCTCTCGGAACTGTGTTAACGGAAAATGAAGTTTGGCAGGGGAAGAAGATGACGGCGAAGAGCGAGAAGGAAGCGGCGGAAGCAGATTTGAAGATGGCTAAAATGCAGGTTGAAGCTACTGAGGCCGCGGAGAACGCCAAGAAGGGAACTTAATTTGCGTGCATAATATTTTAGAATGGATCATCAGAAGTTTAGCCCTCCCCCTTGTAACCATTTCTTCTTACCATTTTTCAAATTTTGTATAATTAGTTCTATGATTTATGTATATTTCCCATTTCATCTGTTTGAATTCAATATTCGTAAGTTGCGATTTCAAATGAATCTATTCATTCAAAAGAATCGAATTGAATCGAATACGTTTCTTATAATACCTGATCAATGTATCATTGGATCAATCTATATTAATTGATTGTCTCCGTTGCGCGGCTAATAAAGGCCTTTTAGAGAAACCAAATGTGATATGTGAACTGTAGAGTTGAACGAAATACCTTTACAATGATATGGAAACCTTTTCCTAGCGTCCTAAAAACTTTGAAAAGAACTCCAGGAAAGTCTGTCTGATACGATAATTAAGAAAGTCTACCTTATCGAGGATATGGAAACCTTTTCCTAGCGTCTTAAAAACCAAGAGAACTCCAGGAAAGTCTGTTTGATACGATAATTAGGAAAGTCTATATTATCGAGGATATGGAAACCTTTTCCTAGCGTCTTAAAAACCTTGAAGAGAACTCCAAGAAAGTCTGTCTGATACGATAATTAAAAGAAAAGTTACAAGAGCTTAAACTGAAAATAGACACTATTATACCGTTGGAAAAATTGGTGGTTTCGATATTTTTCCATTCATTCTCCATACCAAATTCTAACATTTTCCATCCATTAGATCCATATGCCAACATGTATCTTTAACAACTAGATGGATCCTTCTCCCTACCGAATTCTAATGTTTCTCATCCATTCTCCCTACCCGATTTAACAACTAAATGGAGGTTGGCTTCCCAACAAAAACTTTTACAAATACTATACATTTCGTAAATGGGATTTCATAGTTCATAATTGCTTTCGAAGAGGGAATGAATCTAAAAATAGTGAATAAAGAAGAAAGAAAAAACAGAGCATGGTGATGGGGCAATAAAGGAGCAGTATTATGAGAAGGGAATATTATAACAAACCATGGGCGGAGGACGGAGGCGGAGGAGCTTCCAGACGAATATAGTCGTACATAATGGCTTGGAAAGGGCTGGTGCTTCTCGGCTGCGTGAAGAAGATGGTGTTGTCGCCGGAGACCAGCCGGTTTCCCGGAATATTCACGTTGTAGAGCCAGTACAGGCCGTGAATGCCGTGTCTAGCGATCGAATTGTCCCTTCCGATTAGCCCACTTGAGAACACCGGCTTTGCTTTCGGGTCATTTACTCCAACCTTCAAAACAGCAAACTTTCGTCTCAATAATTAATGGTTGGAAACTCTGCAAAAGTTGAACAAATTTTAATTTTGTAAACCTGCAATTCCGCGATAGAAGCGGAGGCCAGTGCGACCCGAAGCTTGTAAGTTGCTTGGCTGTCCACGTTGTCCAGCTCGAACTTCACCTGCCATGTTGTTCCCTTGAATGTTCCGTTTTCTGTCTTCCTGTAGATCAACAGAAGCTGTTTGTATTCTTTTCTTCTTCTTGACAGTGGTTAATAGACGTTAATACATATGATTAGATACAACTTTGATTGATCTTTCACTGCTCAATTTGGTTTCATATATAGCCGCCTGCTTCCAACTCAAATCTGATACTCTAAACGACTTGTTCTCTCATATTGTTAAATGTTCATGATATCGTTGATTTGGACTTCGTGAAACGACTCAGGTTTTAGAAGACAACAACTGCAACAAGCCCATTTTCAATACTCATTTACGTGAGATCCACGTAGGGAGAATAACGAAACATTCGTTATAACGAGTGCTTGCAAACGCGTTTTAAAAATCTTGAGAAGAATTCCAAAAGAAAAAATCCAAAAATGATATTTACTAGTGGTGGGCTTGGACCGTTACAAATGGTATTAAAGCAAGGACACCGGGTGATGTGCCAGTTAAGAAATTGAATCCCGAAAGGACACCGGACAATGTGTCAATGAGGAGACTGAACCAGGAAGAGGGGTGGACACAAGACAGTGTGCCAGCAAGGACGTTGGGCCTCGAAGGGGATGGATTGGGGGTAGACACGAGACAGTGTGCCAGTAATGACACTGAGCCCCGAATGGGAGTGGATTGGGAGTCCCACATCGATTAGAGAAGGGAACGAGGCCAACGAGGACGTTGAGTTTTGAAGGGAGGTGAATTGTGCGATCCCACATCAGTTAGGGAGGAGAACGAAACATTCTTTATAATGGGTGGGTATGTAAGCCTCTCCCTAGCTACCCAAAAATGACAAGTTACAATTTATCAATTTGATTTTCTAGAGTTAGAGAAGACAACTTCAATTATTTTTCGAGACCAGACGAGTTTGATATCTCCAGCACCTTTTAGATGAGAAAGAAGAAGCACACCTGGTAACCTGAGCGAAGAACCAGTCCTTGGTATAATCACTGACGCCGACGGTATACACCAAGTCTGCATCGGGATACAATTCGCTGTACCTTTCCCACAGACCATACTGGCGAAACCTGATAAATCAACCATCAACTTTGAGAATCAATCGAAGGGATTAATGTATAATTATGGCAAGAAGATTGATTTACTTATCGGAATGGTTAAGATAGAGCTTATTGACGTAGTTGGGATTTGGATCTGGAACATAGAACTCTTCTGCTGAGCGATCCGGGACTCCAATTTCCCACAGTGTCGCCCCTGCTCTTGGAGGCTCGTATATTATCTCATCCACGTCTATCTGACTACCTATATTCTCACACGTATAGAGTTAATTATTAGGAATCATGGAACTCTACCATAGTATGATACCTATATTCTCACACGTATAGAGTTAATTATTAGGAATCATGGAACTCTACCATAGTATGATATTGTCTACTTTAAATATAAACTCTCGTGATTTTACTCTGAATTTTTCCAAAAAAAAATATTCATACCAATAGGGATGAATTCCTTATTTATAAACCCATTGTCATTTCTTAAATTAGCCAACGTGGAAATCTTCCAACCATCTCTAACGTTAATTGGAATCAATTGATCGTTGAATCGTAGTAAGAAAACAAGAACCTTCTAATATGTCGATGATAGAATCGTAACGATAATCTCCAATGAAACCGGGGACCCATGCATATAAATTGTAGTCGCCAGGCCTTATGTGGTCGATGAAAAAGTATCCATCTTCATCTGCTCTGCTCCAAAATTGGTAACCCTGATAATATTTAAACGATGAATTAAATATATATTGTTCATATTTTCTTTCAAAAAATATGAATGTCTACCTTGCTCTCTCTTTGCCATGAACCTACGTCTCCTGGTGGAGCTAAGCCAACAAACGCACCGTTTGCTGGAATGTAGTCTTCACTAACGTAGCTAGATCATGTCATTTACTTTAACTAATCAATTTTGGATTAAGAACTAAAAATTCAACAAAAATCTGTTAAAAATGAGAAATATAAATGGAATCGAAAATAAGATATTCATTAATGTTCCCAACATTTAATAAGATACAACTATATAAGCACTCTACATACTTGTATTAGCTACCTACATGCAAAGATACAAGCTACCAACTAACTTATATACCAACCCATTCCTAAAAATAAAATACACTACCCATAAAATATATTTCAAGAATATTTTTATTTCTAAAATTAAATTTCATAATAAAATTCAATGGAAAATGTGTACCTATCTTTGACTAATAGTCTGCCACTGATATTACCCCGTTGGTTTGACTTTGGAAAATCCTCCGAAGCAGGGAAGCTGTATGGCCAACTTTGGACTTCAATCGATGCCTTATTGTAGGGAAGAAATTAGTCTTCGATTGAACGATAATTTAGTTTTAAATACAAATTTACTCTTTAAACTAATTAAAATCTATGTAATTTGTTGTGGACTAAATAGGCACAATGGATAACCACAAATACACTGTCTAATTTGTTATGGTTTTCTAATAAAGATAGTATTTCTTTCTTATATAAATTTATGATCCACCCTTAATTACCCTTAATTAACTGGTGGGACTCCTTTTCTCTCCTAAGAATTTTCAACGAAAATGAAGAGTTAAAAGAGAAAACCTGTGATTTGCCATCTTCCCAGAGCTGAAGGGCGTCGCTAGAATCGTAAGTGGAGTTGAGATAGATAAACACAGGACCGAAGACTTTCTTCCATGCCTCGCCGGCTCCGATTTTCGGCACCAGATCCTCTCCCGTGTAATGGGCGCTAATAAAAACCTGATTCAATACGGTCGTTTTTGGCTTAGTCTCTGGCTTCTGATGCGCACAAACATTAAAGTCATGAATGGAGGCAACAAGAAAAATCGCTTACAGCAAGAGTGGTCGGGCCGACGTGCGAAGTCAGGTTCTGTTTAACGGGTCCACCGGAACGGCACTCATTGCTGGGGGTGATTAGCCAGAACCCGATTGGCGGGTCGGTGGATATCCATCCATGGACGCCGCTATCTTTGTTATCGCATGAATATTGATACTTGTCATCCACCTTTACAGTACACAACCATGAGAAGAAGAATCAGAACACATTTACATTTCCACGACTCTGGTTTTTCCCATTAGTTTAATAAAATTTCGTTCTTCCAAGCTAAGTAAGAGAAGGTATTAAGTTAAATTTAGGCTGTTTGGGTTTTGTGATTGTTGGGAGGGAGTCCCATTCGCTAATTTAGAGAGGATGATTATAGGTCATCTTCATTGATATGAACACTTTTGGAGAAACCAACCGCAAAGTTGTAGGAGCTTATGCTTAAAGTGGACAATATCGGACAACATCATGTCACGGTGTAGGTTTGTGGTTCCTAACAAAAATGACATTTAATTAGAATAGATTCAATAATGGACCTCTCCCTTAAGCTCGGATTCGATGGGGTCGACGAGCAGGACAGCCTCTGGATAGGCCAGAGCTCGGCCTCTCGGTGGTGACCGGTCATCTGGAAGTGGCATGGATCTCTGTCTGTTGTCTGCCATGGCCATATAATGGAACCTACAAAAGATTGTCCAGAATAACTATAAAGTCCACAAGAATGCTTTAAAGTAAACATTCAGTGGAATATTATTGAGAATTTCGTACTTGTCTTTTCTGAGTTTGAAGGCGAGTCTGGTTTCACCAAGGTTGAAACCAGGCCATTCTTTCAAGTGTTGGTAAATAGCATACGAATAGAATCCAGATGAACCCCGAAGCATTATAAACCTACATAGCTTCAAATCCATTCATGAGAAAGAAGTTTGCAATTTAATAATCAAGATCTGAATCAATCTCAACCTTTTATCAATCAATAACGGCACAAGCTTTCCCTCGAGAGACAGATCCCATTTTCTCGTAAAGGAGAGCTCCACTTGGTCTTCATTTTCCACTATAACCTCAAAATCTGTAGCCTTTATCCTACAAAGCAAATTTGGCTAACTCAAAATATACAACCAAAGAACTGCGGGCCAGAAGATCAGCAAGAAAGGCAAGTTGGTGAGCAAAAAAGCAGAATACATACACATCAAACGATCCAGTTGCAGAGGCTGATGGGTTCCACACGAGGTCCCAGTACCTGCATGCATGGAACATGTCCTTAGGTTGCATATATTTTTGAATCAACGAAGCATTGGTCAAATTAACAAGCCAATAGGAACACCTACTGACTTATATGAAGCAAGTTTTTCGTTCATAATATACCCTCTGTTAGATTCGTCATTGAGAACTTCGAGCAAGTTGTCAACTCCATTGTATCGAATTCCGGTCACTATGCCATCTGGGTTTGACAACGTGACTTGGACTATGCCATTGTCCATTGTCACCTGCACATTTCTCGGTTTTGACATCAAAAGTGTTAATTGATGGGAGATAGTCTCACGTTGACTAATTAAGGAAATGATAATAGGTTTATAAATAAAGAATACATTTTCATTAGTATAAGGACTTTGAGGGGAAAAACAAAAATAAAGTTTTGAGCATCACAATATTATACCATTGTGAATATCCGTGATTCCTAACAAAAATGAGAGGACACAAAGAGAGAAAGAGGGAGGGATGGACGTACCTGATGTTCTGCAATGGAGAGTTGCACACCCAGTGGCGGCATGTTGACAGCCCTCGACCTACTGGTTGATAGATAAGCCAACCTCTATATCTAACAAAAGTAATGTCTTATTTCTGGGAAGTTGAGGATAATGTGTTAAGTTTGGGGAAGAAGAGGTTACTTACATTTGAATGTGGAATTCAGGGTTGGGTTTCTTTAGCTTTACATAAACAAAAAGGTCCAAAACCACAAACTTTTTTAAGAATCTTTTTGGTCTGTTTTTTTCTATATCTTTACTTGGTCGCCAATTAGGCGTGAAGTGTAAGATTCGCTACTTAGAGTTGCAAGTCAAAAACAAACTCCTGTTGCATCCTAGTTTTCACTTTCCCTTCTTGATGTTCTTGATTAAGTTTAGTTGAGTTTCAAGTTATCGCGACATAATTTAAAATATTAAACGAATTAGATCATCTTTTTACTTCCTTTTAAAAATAAGTTTTTGTTTTCTTAAATGATACTTTCAAGTATATCGAAGTTTAGCATCGCAAGAGATTTCTTTTTGTGAATAGTTATGGATGCAACTGTCCCAAAAAGAAAAAAGTTATTACCCAATGCTAATGGGAACTAGCTAAAGTTAATGACCAAAGTAACTAAATTATCAATGAAAATTGGGTATTTCCTTCATGGGTAGTCTTTGACGTCCCCATTGAGTAGAGAGCTCAAATGGAATTCGACGGATCAAGAAAAAGGGAAGAAAAAGCTAATCATGATCGGAAGTACAACAATGCTCTTTCGTTTGAAAATGAAAAGTTCTGTGGGTTTAATATAAGAAATTTCGGAAAACCATGGGAGAAAGCTATCAAAACTTTTCGAAATTCAACTAAGACGTGGATTGAACATGGATTCAAAACAAATAACAAATAAGAAATAAAAAAACACAGCTTGAGATATGGAACGCCATTTATAAACCTTTGTATAATCACCCATCTTATAAACCTTGGATAGCCACATGCGAAACATTTTCACTAGTTTTTGTCTCAACTTTTTACATAAAATTATTGACCAAGTGGAGTTATTTGCAAGACGATATAGGAAAGAATTCAACCAACAATTATTTCTTGGAAATCATTATGAAATGCGAAACAGTGAGAAGTTTTGAGGTTGAGATTTCTGACCTCGAATCAAGTCCAATATTCCCGCAGTTTTTCTCCCACAAATTTTGCCAAGCCATGTTTTCTGTAAGTTTAGGGAATGAGTAAAGCCCAATGCACAGAGATTGAAGGACAAAAGATATCTAACTGGTTACCAAATTTCAATTCTTATTTAGAAGACAACACATATATTTCAACTACTAAGACGACAGATGAGTTTATTGACACACTTGCACATAACGCTGGGAGGGAAGGGTTTCATATAATCAAATTAACTTGTTAAAGCAGAGGAAGTCAGTCCTTGGTGCTGCTCTTGATCCAGTCTAGGTACTTGAGGCTGCCACCATTGATAGGCAAAGCAAGAACTTCAGGCACCCTGTGTAAGAAAATGGAAGTAAATCCTTGGAAGGGACAAAACATGGCTTTTAAAAAATCTCCCTGATTCCCCCAGGCCCACACCTTGAAAAGCGTCTTAACACCTTCAGATTTCCACAAGAAACAGATAACTAAGATCTTATTTTTTTGGTTTTCTGCTACTTATGAGTTATGGCTCTCTTATTTGTTTAGTTTTTCATTCTTAAAGATAGTTCTAAAATTTTAGTCAAATTTCAGAAATAAAAAAGAAAACAAATATTTAAGAACTATATTTTTATTAGTTTTCAAATTTTAGCTAAGATTTTAAAAACATTCCGGAAGTACATGAGTTGACAAAGAATAAGTACTAGCAATTAGGAAATGTTCAAAAACAATTAGTAAGTGAGAATTGATCAAAAGAAAAACAACTTTGTTTCCCAATATGATCAACTGAACTATTCCTAATAAGTTTCCTTCACTGAAAAACAGCAATGGAATATTACAGGGAAGATCCAGGAAGCTTCAAATTTTCAATGTTCAGAAGCAACTTCATTGATATGAACAGAGAACTTATAGGACAACATCAAATGTTCTCCAAGCGTGAATTATAAATATTGTTGATATACTGTCTTTTCCACACTGTGAGAAATGCATTCTATCAACTAAGATGACAATCAGAGGCGGGAAAATATGCACGTACCAGGTACTATGTTAATACAAGCAGCAAGTTTTTCTTGAAAATGCTTTCAGCCAATTTCTTACCTGCAGAAATAGCGATAATGACTATAAAGAAACATAAAACATCTACTAAAATGAAGTACAGTTCTGCCAAGTATTTATTAACACTAGAAGAAGCCAATTAACTGTCGAGATATAATTCTTCGTTTGCTGACCCGGTCTGGTCATTATTTGTTCAATGCGCTAAGTATATCTAGCTCATAATCAACAATATCCTATCAACATTCACTCCATCAGTAGCTAACATAATTTTCATCCAGAAACGCCTTGTGAAGACATTACTGGCATAACAAGTTTACTGAAACCATACCGCCAACTCCCATACTATTCGATCACTACACCAATATGTGCTAAAAGAGCCTGACTGACTGATCACTAGATTGACTGACAAGCAACCTTACAGAAGATACTAAAAACCACAAAACAAAAAGATATAGCGACGAAAAACATCTAGTTTAATCCGACCACAAAGAACGCAAGACTTACTGTTAGAAACAGTGACATAAACAACAATACTGTCGCAATATCTACCGCTCAAAAGTGTGCATAGATATGAAAATATTATTTCTCAACGAAAGAATACAGATTTAAGAATGAGAAAAAGAATTGGGATCGAATGTTCTATCTTCATTGATATTCACGACCTTTAAATAGGATACAAGATACTAAATAATATCTACCAAGAAAATATAAACTAACTAAATCCGGATAATAAAACTATTCAAATTCAACTGATTACGATATTTAAGATATATTTCCTAACTAATATATTCTGGAAGATTAGGAATATCATATATTCCATAACTAATTCAAACTAAAATAAGTTGCACTAACTTGTGACAAATACTAGGGACCGCAGCACTACTCCCTTCCATTTTTATCAAATGTACATCCCCAGCCGGTACTTGACCGGCAATCTTCGAACTGACATACGTTTTCCATTAGTAAACCAACAAGAACACTGATCAAACAAAGAATCTAAACATACAAACCAGTAACTAAATCAAATTCACATCAAGAAACAGACATAGAAGAAAAGAATCAAGAGAAAAAGCAAGGAATCAAAAAACAAGTACCTCAAGAGAGACGCAAACGACAGAGAGAGAGAGAGAAAGATAGGAATCCGTTAGGAAGATGAGGAGATTGGAGAACCGGAAGCTGAACGGCAAACGAACATACAACGGCAGAGGCCGAGAGCAAAGGAGCCGCGTCTCTACTGCAGAGAGTGAAGGCCATTTCTCGTTAATATCTCTACTCGTGCGTGTCGCGCCTTTTTTCTGTCACCCCCGTCTTGTTCTTCCCACCATTGGGCCCTTTTCAACTTTATGGACCCAAGTTTGTCTTAAAGCCCATTTCAAATGGGCTTTCGGCCCATAATCTCAATTAATAATTTTTTTAATTTAATTATTAAATAATACGAAATAAATAAATAATCAAAATAATACAAAACATCAATAATTTGATGTGAATATTATTAACATATAGTAATATTTATTGAAATTTTATTGGGAACTTATTATTTGATATATTTCAACAACTATTCAAAATCATTTAGTAGCTTTTATTATTTTTCTAAATAATATATAAATATACCATTTTTTTTTCTTTTTTCCTTTTTGAGTTATACATCACATTAACCTTTGTATTTCAAAATTAATACGGCAACTCAATTATTTAATACATTTTTTAGTACATTAACTGTTCACTTCATGGTCTTACTTTATTAATTAATTAATTACTGGCGGCTCAGTTAGACATCCAACCAATAATTTACCGCCACGTAATTAATTCATCCAATTGGTTACTCTATACCAAGCTAGAGTGCCTTTATTAAATTTATTTTTTTTAAATCTCTATTAATATTCTTATGTATTATAAATATGACAAATTAAAAATAATAATAATTAGTATATATATTAAAATTTTTAAATTATTTTTTGCGAATAATTTTTATTTATTATATTTACTATGTTTTTTTTTTTTAATAAAAATGTATAGCTACTAATAAGTATGTGTGTAGCGTATTTATATTTCTACAATAATTTTGTAAATTATTGATCTTTGACCTTGTTAAAAGAATGGAACGGGATGCAATATGAATTATGTAACCTACAAAAATGTAAAATACATAAAGTTTATTTCGAGATGTTGGACAAATATTAATGTACGAGATTCAAATAAACTATAGGGGTTGGCTTTATTTGAATAAAAAAATAGTCGATAACATGCGTTATATAGCATCGACTTTTATTTAACATTAGTTGTATAATTTAGTATAAATATCAAACATTATTTTTTTTTAGTATAAATGTCAAACGTTGTTGTCACTTTAGTAAGTGATGGAGGTGGGCATGTCGCATTATTTGACTTATAACCTCAATAATCAATCTTTTTGTTTGTTTTTTTGTGGATTTGATTGTTCGAAGCCATAAGACTTAAGTGTGAAAGAAATCGAACATTGAATGTTAACTAAAAGTCTATTTTTTAAAAATGGACAAATTTTCTGTGAGGTCCCATGTAGGTTAGAGACAGGAACGAAATATTTCTTATAAAAGTGTGGAAGTCTCTCCCTAATAGATGTGTTTTGAAACTGTGAGGCTAACAACGATATATAATGGGTCAAAGCGGACAATATCTACCAGCGGTTGGCTTGGACTGTTAGAAATAGTATCAGGGTTAGACACCGAGTAGTGTGACAGTAAGGATGTTGGATTCTCAAGGGGGTGAATTATGAGATCTCACATCAGTTGAAAAGGGAAACAAAACATTTCTTATAAAGGTGTGGAAACCTCTTCCTAGTAGACGCGTTTTAAAATCGTGAGACTAACAGCGGTATGTAACACACCAAAGCAGATAATATTTGTAAGCGATGGGCTTGGGATGTTACAAATGGTATCAGAGCTGAACATCGAGCAGTGTAAGGATGTTGGGCCTCAAGGAAGGTGGATTGTGAGATCTCACATCAGTTAGAGAGGGGAACGAAACATTCCTTATAAGGGTGTGAAAACTTCTCCCTAGAAGACATGTTTTAAAAACGTAAGGTTGACAGTGATACGTAATGGGCCAAAGCAGACAATATCAACTAACGGTGGCTTGGGTTGTTACATTTTTTTTTTTTTTATCATAAGAGCTCCATTATGTACGTATGGTTTGGATTAATCCTTCGTTGGATACCCTCTTAATTTTTTTTTATAGAAAACACGTGAGGAAATACGACGATCAGTGTTAAAAGCAATTTGAGACAATTAGGTATCGAAAACAATATCAAGTTCTCAACTAACACGGGAGTTCGAATCTAATAATATTATTATTACGTAGTTATTATTATATAAGGTAATATTTATGTATATACCCTATAAATTTAATTAAAAAACTATACTATAAAATTTAGCATAAAGTATTTTGTGTGGACCCTCTAAATTTCATCATATTCATAAACCTATAATTGACATCTTTATGATTCAATTCAAGTGACATCCAGTTAGACATTACAACTTACAGATTTATAATGGCAAAACAGTCAGATGGAAAATTATAAAAATTTTGAAAGTAAAAAAATAAAATTAATGAATGAAAATTGAAAAAATTTAAAATTTAAAAAATTAAAAAGTCAATATTGATATAAATGTTTTAAATTTACATAATATAATTTATTGCCCACATAGCCAATGCCAAATCCATTGCTTTATTACCTAAACCTTCCCCAACAAAATTTAAAAGACAAAAAGTAAAATTAAATCAATTTGCCAAAAGGAAAATTGATGGGAAAAAAATATATTTATTTAAGAATCGAAAAATTATAAAATATTTTTTTAATTTTGACGACAACGCGGTTGGATTGGTCAGATGAACACGACAACACGACTCTCCATAATGATATGATATTCCCCACTTTGAGTGATACCTATAATCGAGGAACACGACTCTAATACCATGTTAGATGAATACGACTCTCCACCATGGAATGATATTGTCCACTTTGAGCATAAGCTCTCATGACTTTGCTTTGGACTTCCCCAAAAGGTCTCGTACCAATGGAGATAGTATTATTTGATTATAAACCTTTGATCATTCATTAAATTAGCCGATGTGGGACGACTTTCATCCAACCGGATCAACCCAACCAACTCCAAAATAGGTTTACAATCCAACCGTACCCTACTTTTAATATTATGAATATTTGACATTTATAACCAATGTTAATGATATCGACTTGTGAATTTTTTGATTATCATAACATGTATTATAGATAAGTATGATTTTTTAAATAATTAAAAAAAAAACAAATTGATAATCCAACCCAACTCAACCCAAATTGAGTTGTGAACTCTATTCGGGTTGGTTAGGTCACCAACCTAGCTAACTCAAAATTTCGAGTGGGTCCAAAAGATTTTTCCAACCCAATTCAATCCATGTACACCTCTACTAAAATGTTTACTAATGAATGATCATAAATCCACTGACTCCATACCATTGTGGAGAGTCGTGTTCGTCTAACATGGTATCAGAGTCATGTCCTAAACTTAGCTTCGATTAAGGGGAGGCGTACTTTGTTTGAGGGAAGGTGGTGAATGATGAAAGTTCCACGTCCGCTAATTTAGGGAATGATCATGAATTTATAACGGAGAATTAAATGAATTTTAATATTTATTAAAAGTAAGAAAAAATAATTTAATAAAATGGGGTGAAATTTATTGTGAAAAACACAGAAGATGGGGCGGATGTTGAGGAATTGGTTTGAAATTGATTAATTAACATAATAATCCATGTTTATCCTTTTAATCCCACACTTAATTACTGAGTTTGTTTATTCAAGTAGTGAATCTCAAGGCCAAGGTTGTGTCCAAATGGTGGAATTTAAATCCTTTAATATAATAATGCCTTCCCATCCTCCTAATATTCGATAATTATAATTAATATACATAAATTTTAAATAATTATAAATAAGAAAAGCTCGGATCTCAAATGTGGCTTCTATTTTATAAGTAGACTTTCCCTTATGGTCTTTTTAATATTTCCATAAAAATAATAAATATTGAGTGTTTTTTTTTTAAAGTTAAATTACAAATTTGATCTGAAAAAATGTTAAAAATTTATTGCATATTTGTGGATATAGTTTGATAAACTAGAGATTAGTCACCGCGAGTAGATATTGTCTTTTTTGAGACTTCTCTTATGAGCTTCCTCTTAAGGTTTTAAAACGTGTCTGGTAAGGAGAAGTTTCCACATTTTTATAAGGAATGCTTTGTTCTCGACGTGGGATCTCACAATCCACTCTCCATGGGGGCCAGCGTCCTCGCTAGCACATCGCTTGATGTCTGGCTCTGATACCATTTGTAACAGTCTAAACCCACCGCTACCAGATATTGTCCTCTTTGGACTTTCCCTTCTGGACTTCCCCTTAATATTTTGAAACGTGCCTGGTAGGGAGAGATTTGCACATCCATAAAAGAAATGTTTCGTTCTCCTCTTTAATCTATGTGGGATCTCACAATCCAACCCCTAAGATTTGTAACCGTCCAAACCACGCAAGCAGATATTGTTCTCTTTGAACTTTTCCTTCTGGGCTTCCCCTAAATGTTTGTTTCCACGCCCTTACTAAGAAATATTTCGTTCTCATCTCTAACTGATGTGGGATTTCACAATCCACTCCCCTTAAGAGTCCAACGTCCTCGCTAGCACACCGCCCAGTGTCTGGGTTTAATATCATTTATAACAGCCCAACCTCACCGCTACAAATATTGTCCTAATTTTAAAATGCGTCAAAGAGAGGTTTTCACACTCATATAACAAATGTTTCGTTTCACTCTACAACCGATATGAGATCTCACAATTTATGATCTAACTTTTTCGAGATTATAAAGATTAAATTTGTAATTCAACATATTTATAGAACGAGAAAGCTCATGTATTCGACCAAAAAGCGTTATATTCGAAAAGCAAGAGAATATGGGGCATGCTAGTGTGAGAGCAAAAGGTTAAAAAAGAGGGTAAAATTCCAAAGGTGACAAAAAGAGCATTTGAAAAAGGGAGGAGAGAGAGAGAGAGAGAGAGAGAGAGAAAATGATACTCTAAAGTGTCTTTAGGGTTGTAATTTTGAAAGTTGCCCTTAATGAGTAGGGATGGATGCCCTTGGTCTTGGGTGAATCCAAGGACAAGCATCCTAAGAAATTAATGTTGTTACTAATAAAATAATATTAAAATATGTTATTACCAATGTTTTGGATTTCTTTATTACTTTATAAAATTAAAAAATACAAAATTTATAATTTCAACGCTAAACACAAAAATATAACGACGTACAAAAAAAGGAGATATTTGTATATGTATATATAATTATATGGTTTTTTTTTTTATGTCCTACTTGAACATATAATTCTCATTTTCCGTGCTTCTTTAATAATTTATTTTAAATTTTGTAAAATTTGTCAAACGAGCAAAAATATTTAATGATATAAAATCGAGGTCAATTAATATACATCTATATACTTCTTCTCGTCTTAATTTTGTCTTTATCTTATATCTTAAAAGGTGATAATTTTTTTTTGTAGTTCGTTAATACGTGGGTAGTGGAGTCTATTGGATGATGAAAGTCCCACATCGACTAATTTAAGGAATGATCACGAGTTTATAATAAAAAAAATACTTTCTCCATTGGTATGAGACATTTTGGGAAAGCCCAGAGCAAACCCACGAGAACTTATACTCAAAGTAGACAATATCATACCATTGTGTTGAGTTGTGTTCGTCTAACATGGTATCAGAGCCATGCCCTGAATTTAGTCGTGCCAATAGATTGGTAAATCCTCAATTGTCGAACAAAGGAAGAAAATGAGTCAATATCATACCATTGTGGAGAGTCGTGTTCGTCTAACATGGTATCAGAGCCGCCATGCCCTAAACAAATGTTGAACAAAGGAAGAAAAGGAGTTGAGCCTCCACAAAGGCATAGTAAAAAATGACTACGACTCCAAAAAGAAAAATGAGTGTACTTTGTTCGAGGGGGAGGTGTTGAATGATTAAAGTTCCACATCGCGACTAATTATACCATTATGGAGAGTCGTGTTCGTCTAAGTTTTACTTACGCTGTAAATTTGTCTATATATTTTTATTTATATTAGCTTTATTTCGAAAATTATTAAAAAGTTTTGATCACATGGTTTAGTGAAATTTGTATGAACTTTTAAAATGAAATGATTTGCGTGCACCAAAAGGCGAGAGGCTCCAGTGTGAAAAAGCAAAGCAAAGCACCAAGAAAATAAAATATACATCTTTTTTATTTTTATTTTTTTAAATAAATTTGGTTCTTAAATTAAATAAATGTTGGGAAATTAAAACAATTGAAGAATACAACTTTGACTCATTTTTTGTTCACAACATTTTTTCTCTTTATATGATTCATTTTTTATGCTTTATTTTCGTAATATGTTTTTTTTATATTAATTAAAATTTTAAATATTAACCTAAGGTCTCAAATAATTAGAGAAATGAATAAAATATTACTTATAACAATGTGAAAATTAGTATTTTAAATAAAATAATAATAAAAATAATGCGAATTAAAGAAAATAATAAATTTAATTATAGGAACGGATTCATTACAGGGGAATCCGTATATTAGGGAATATGTCTGTGTTATTTTTGTTTATATATATATATATATATATAATATAAAATAAATTAATTCTGATACGATAAAATACCAAATACTTCGACAAAAAAGTCAGTGTCAGTTTCGTAAATTTAGGCGCGTAAAAATGGGCCCACCTTCCCAGACAGCAGCTCCTTCTGCTTCTGCCACAGTACACGTGTCAGCATGGGGACGAAAAAGACAGCATCCCAGTACGTTTGGCTACCCTCTTCGTGTGCACTAAATTACCATTCTAACCCTGCTTCATTTGTGAAATTACCACAATAACCAGGCCCCACTTCCCCTCTGAATGGACGTGTCGCTTTATTTAGTTATTTCCTAAAGAGACTGCTTTTCAATATTTATCGCACCGTATTATTATTATTATTTATTTAATGTAATTCCTAAAATATAAAACAACGGATTTCCAAAATATTTTTGCCTAAATAAATAATAATAATAATAATAATAATAAATAAATACGCTGTCTTGCATCTCCTCTCGACCTCTCTATTCCCAAATAATCAACCAAAGAAATTAAAAAAAAAACCAAAATTAAAAGGACAAATTACCATTTTAACCCTCAATTTCAATTTTTTTTATAGTTAAATTACAAATTAGTCCTTATATTTTTTTTCCGCAATACTTTACCTAATAAATTCTCAATTTATTTTACACGAGATCTTTTTTAATTTAACCTCTAATTATTTAAACAGTTAATAATTATATTGTTATCTTGATGGTACGGATCACAATAGTCACATAAACACATCTAATGAAAACATTCACATTTAAACGAATCTTTAAATTTTAAATCGTAAAAGTTAGTTTAAAATTTTTAAACTCGACCGAAACGACGAGGTTAAAATGGTAATTTTACCGGGATATAATTAGATTTAATAAGAATTATAAAAAAAATAAATAAATAAATAAGAAAAGTAGCGAGTTGGGTTGGTTGGGTTATTGGGAATGTCAGAGAAGGGACCAATGGCTTCTCCTAACCTGCTGCCCTTCTTCTCTCTAAATCCAGCCTGTAATTTTACAATTGAGAAAAATAAAATAAATAAATAAACGGTATATATATATATATATATATTACTGTATATTTGTATCACTTCCGTTCATACCTTCTGATTCCTTATATGTCCCTTCTTCTCCATCTCCTTCCCTCTCCACTTTAACCTAAAAAGCCTCGCCTTTTTCTCTCCTTCTTAATCTCCGGCGGTCTTTTCCGGCGCCATCTTGCAGGAACGGGGGCGGAGGGACGGCAAGAAATCGCCGGCTTAAAAAAAGTTGAAAAGAATTTAAAGAAGACGACCAAGAACAAGCCCATCTGCCTCTGCCCCTCTGCAACGCAATAGCTTTTTTGTTCTTATTTCCCAATCAATTTCTCCGTCTAAAAAGATCAACAGCGATTTTTTCCACAGTTTCTTTGTAATCGGCTGTTTCTGGCCTCTGTTCCGCTCTGTTTTTTGCTTCAATGGCGCCTAGTTTTGACCTTGCTGTTACCAATCTTTTATGCGCTGAAGAAAATTGTATTTTCGATGATAACGATGATGACGAGTGTCTGGTCGCTCCTTATGTTCTTACGAGTAATGGGTTTCAGAGTTGGCGTCACGGCGGCGATGGGTTTCCGTTTACAAGCGATGAATGTTTGATTGAAATGGTGGAGAGGGAAACCCACCACTTGCCTGTTGATGGGTATCTCATGAAATTGCAAAACGGCGAGTTGGATGTCGGGGCTAGAAAAGATGCTGTCGATTGGATTGAACAGGTGGGTGTTCTTGTTTCTTGTGAATCGATCGTTTTGTTATTCCCTGATGGTGGTTTGATTCCTGATTCGTTTGGTTTTGGCTGATGTTTTGATTGTTCTTTCTGATTGTTTAAGGTTGTTTGATGTGTTCATGTTTGATTCATAGCCAATGTCGTTGATTATGTTGCTTGGATGATGAACAGGTGAGTGCTCATTTCAATTTTGGTCCTCTCTGCACATACTTAGCCGTAAACTACATGGATCGATTCCTCTCCGCTTACACTCTACCAGTATGAACAATTGCCCTCCGTTTTTCCGTAACTCGGTTCGATCGATTCAATTCGACACGATGTCTTATTGTTCTTGTGCCATTTGCAGAAAGGCAAAGCTTGGACAATGCAGCTACTGGCAGTGGCATGTCTGTCTCTTGCAGCCAAATTGGAGGAGACTGAAGTCCCAATCTCGTTGGATTTACAGGTTAACGATCATCTCGATACTCGATCGATCGAAAACGATTTCAACCGTTTTCCTAATAATTGAGTTCATTCAATCACAGGTGGGTGGATCTAAATTTGTGTTTGAAGCAAGAACCATAGAAAGAATGGAGCTTTTAGTGTTGACAACATTGGGGTGGAGAATGCAAGCCGTTACGCCGTTCTCGTTTATCGATCATTACCTCGGCAAGATCCATCACGACGACAAGACATCGATCACCCGTTCGATTCGTTTACTATTGAACATAATTCAAGGTCCTTTCTTGTTCCCTAAACATAAACAATACGTTCGTGTCGAGGTATCGAAATGGTTTTGATTGATCGGGAAATGAACGCAGGGATCGAGTTCTTGGAATTCAAACCATCCGAGATTGCAGCAGCAGTGGCAATATCAGTAGCTGGAGAAGGTGAAGAGACAGCAATTCCTCTTCTAATTCAGCAGAAACTCCACATGGTAATATCGAATGTGTTTAGTAATCATATTGTTGATCGATCATCATCTGAATTTGAACGTCTCTTTTTGTGTAGGAAAGAGTAGTGAAGTGCATTAAGATAGTGAAGGAGATGTCGGGGAAGACGGAGGAGGAGGAGGAGTCGAGGTCGATGTCGGAGGGGCCGCAGAGCCCGAGCGGGGTATTGAACGTGAGGTGCTTAAGCTATAAAAGCAATGAAAGTACAGCAGTTGGGTCATGTGCAAATTCTTCTTCACATCATAACAGTTCAAATGGTTCAAAGAGGAGGAGATTGAACAGAGCCTGTGAAGTGGAGCTTTAGTTTAGAACAAATAAATAAAAGGGTGATGGGAAGTGTGATCTTCCAGTCCTGAAGTAAATTTTTTGTGAGGATTTTGAAAAACAGGATAATTATAATATAAAAAATATATATAAATATATATGAATTTTGGAATTGTTTAATATATCTTCTGTGGAGGTATTTATTTATTTATTTTTTTTTTAAAACTCACTATGGGCAGAGCCTGGAGCCCTTTGTTTGACCATTTGTCTACTTTGACCACTTGTATGGTAAAAGCCCATTCCATTAATAATAATTAAGAAGAGGGTAGAGGGAGACAATTTCTTAAACAATTTAATTTTTTTTTTTTTATTGCTTACCAATTACAAAATTTTACCTCTAATAAATTTACTGTTTTTAATTTGGTCGAAAATTTCACCTGATAATTTGGTCGAGAGGGCATATGCGTAGGGTAATAATACAGAGAATTTACCGAGTCGGTAATTTATTGGCATTTTATGATCATTGTGAACGGTTAAAGTTTGTAAGAAATTAAATGACTAAAATACCCTTATATTGCCGTTCTGAAATCTCTCTCGTCCTTTCCTCCCCTCCTCCACTTTCAACATGACCACTACCCTACCCATTGACACCCTATCACAAGTGATCGTTTTGATGATTCCTTTTGGTAGGGTGGTTGTTCGCCCATTGCCACCCTATTACGAGTGATCACTCAATGATTCATTTTGGTGGTTGTTCGCTCATTGCCACCCTATCACGAGTGATCACTTCGATGATTTCTTTTGGTGGCTGTTTGCCCATTGCCACCCCATCACGAGTGATCACTACGATGATTACTTCGGGTGGTTGTTCGCTCATTGCCACCCCATCACGAGTGATCACTTCGATGATTCCTTTTCGTGGTTGTTCGCCCATTGCCACCCTATCACAAGTAATCACTTCGATGATTCCTTATGGTGGTTGTTCGCTCATTGCCACCCTTACTTCGATGATTCCATTTGGTGGTTGTTTGCCCATTGCCATCCTATCACAAGTGATCACTTCGATGATTCCTTTTGGTAGCTCATGGCTGATCATAATATTTAAAATATAGATTTTAACTAATATTCATCCTTTATATTAATTTGGTAATAGTGTTAAAAAAAAATAAATGATTTTTATAAAAAGAATACTTGATTTAAAAGATAATCCAAATGTCACATCGTGGGCCGGTCATGACTGGACTTTTATTTGGACGGTTGGATTCCAAATTGGGCCGGTTGTTTGATACCAAATAATACAGGCTTCATCATGGGCCTGCTTATTAACGGGCTGGGCCTTTTCTGGGTCATTCTACTCTTGAATTTGGCCCATTGTGGGGCTGTGGGCTAAACCGAGTTATGATAGCCCAACCCATTAGGGTTTTTTTTTAGGGTTTTATTGGGTGCAGGGAGCAGTGGCGCTGGCGTGCAAGCTCTGTCCTTCTCTCTCTCTCTCTCCGCCACATTAAAATATGGTTTGACCAAACAAAAACAAAGCCATTGTTTATTTGGGTGCATAGAAGTTGGCGCCCAGGCAAGCGTGGTGCAGTGCATGCGCTTCCGCCCACCACTCCGCCGGCTGTGCTGACTGCTACCACCGCATCCCAACGCCGATACTCTCCGCATAACCCCCTTTCTCTCTCTTCATTTTTATCTCCATTCCCAATTAAATTTCTAATAAAAAAAAAGCCTCTATTTTTTGCGGGATTTGTCGGAGGAAGCGTGACCACCGTTGATTTGCTTTGTCATATGATCCGACGGCGTGGAAGATGTGAAGAGAGAAAGAGAGAGAAATGGCGTCTGATATAAAACGACATGTCGATCAAAAAGTCGCCAAGCCGCGTGGGTGACTTTTGAATTTCTTTAATTAAAATAATGGGCGGACTCTGTGGTTAAGATTTGGCGGTCGGAAACACTAATATTTTCTCCCCATTTAATAATCGATTCAAAATTACAGTTTTACCCTTTCCTGCACGCGCTCCTAATTTTTAGTTTCACCTGATGTAATTTATTTATTATCATTTTTAATTTTTACTGTTTCACCTGATAATTACGGCACTGTTACAGGTGCCTTTTTTTCTTTCAAACTCTTTATTATTAATTATTACTCTCTTTTTTATTTTCTTCTTCCCTCTCAAGTGTTTTCTCCTTTTAGTAAACATCTAATTTTTTTTAATTACCATATTCGGTTCTGTTAAAAAATTCTACCCCGAGAAGTTAATAATTTATTCACTAATTATCTTTTTTAATACTTTATTATTCTAACTTTATTGATATTCGTATTTTAATTATCTATAAAATAAATAACCCCATTCAACATATCTTAAATATAGTAATCAATTTTTTTTTAATTTTAAATTATTTTATTAAATGTAAAAAAAAATTATTTATTTTATTTTGGTGTTTCAATCCGAGTATCTCGGGTGGGCATGATTAAGACCGTGCTTCCATCTAAACTAAATGTCAAATGGCGTAATAATTGTGATTAAAAATCAATTAAAAAGGTAATCATTCTTCCCTCCTTTTTCTTCTTTCTTTTTTTTTTCCCCTAAATGTTTATTTAACTATATATATATATTATCTACTAAAAAAATTTCAGTCTTTGATACGTGAAAATCACTGCGAGAGGAGTCAGATTTGGATTACCTTGTTGATCGAATATTTGGTAAGAACATTGTTTGAGATTCGAATCACTCCACAAGCAAGATCAATTATGTTTAGCTTGAATGATTATTGCTGATCAAAAACATTTGTTTGAGATTCAAATCACTTCACGAACAAGATTGATCATGTCGAGCTTGAATGATTCTACCTGCAACCTAAACTAATATAATTGCAAAGAAACTTAGTCATTGGCTAAAGAAAGCACAAATTTTTTTTTTAATCTACTTACAATACAATATGCATGGCTAGCCTCAAAATGAAACTATTAAAGACATTCCAAAAGTTATAACGTTCATACTTAACCGTCATAATTAACCATTTGTAATTGTAACTAAAGTAAATAAAAAGTCTAAAATTTAAATCAACCCAAAATTTATAACATGAAACTTCATTCTTATTCAATGTGGCATGAATTGAAATATTTTTTGATAACTTCGACAATATTTTTTTCACATATTCATTGACGTATATTGTATGATCGATGTTTCTGGGTTCATATCAGTCTTATTCAACTATCATATCATTATGATCACTTTTATTCGAATGTGTTATAGACTATTTCCATAAACTAACACGCATCATTTTAGAACATAAATAAATAAATAAAGTCAGCATAATAAATAACTTTTTTATTTTTAAGATCACTATTATTTTAAATGTAGTCGAGGTTCATTAATGTATTTGTGTTTTATTCCGTCTATTAATTTTAATTTTTGTTGTTTAATTTGTTAAAGCTATGCTTAAATTAAGGATGTGGTTTCGTGTAAAATAAGGAAGTTGAGGTGATACCAAACTTAATGATGTTGTTTGTTGTTTCATGTTTGGTTTTGGAGCATAAATATCCATAACAAAAAATTGCAAAATATTATATTATTTTTAAAATAAACCAATTAAAACCAAACCTTTATTATTAACAATTATGTAATTGAGTGGAGTAGGTGAGAGCTAAAAAAAAGTAAATTTTAATTTAATTTAATTTAATTTAATCCCCTTATGGCACACCCTCCATCATGTCTTGCATATTACCGGGAAAATCATGAGCACGCCATTTGCACGTGTTTGGTGATGTGAATTATTTTATTTATTTTCTTTTTCTATCTCAAAATAAACCCGACCTATTGGTGCCTTCTCGAGCCAAATATATATATATATATATAGTACATCTCTCCAATAGTATGATATTGTCGACTTTAAAAATAAATTATTTATTTTTAATTTTTTAAAAAATATAATAGAATATATTTAAATATAATATTTAGAGTATATATTATTTATGGAATATATCTTAATATTATTTATTTATGATTTGATTTATAGTATATTTTATTTTATTATCAATATTTAATTAATTTATATTCTCCTTTAATTATACACCTTAGTTGCTAGCTTGTATTATGTTTAAGCTTATGAGAATACAATACTTTCGATTCCAATTTTATTTCTATTTCTCATTCTTAACCGAAGAAGATAATATTTTTTACTTTTATATGTATAATTTTTTGTTTGAGTTTACCGAGTATGAATGATATTTTATAAAACAAAAAAATATCGAAGGTCACCCTGAAGTATTAGTCTTGTAAGGTGGTCCTTAATGATTCACACGGGATTCCACGTGTCCCATGCTACTCGGGTCGAAGCGTAAGCCAGCGATGCTTTCAGATACTGGATTCTAGCCATCTAGGGTGCAGCAGTTCACCGCTTCGCCTAGCAGCACGACGATTGTATTACTCTCTCACTACCCTGTTTTCAGGACTTAGGCTGCTCCCATTAAAACATAAATTTGGAAGCGTGAAATTACATTTTTGTCCTTGAAAGAAAGGGTATGATGTATGTAAAATTGGGAAATGATTGGGAAATTTGATAATAATTGGCAATAAAATGGGAACTTTAGAATGGGACATTTTATAATATATGTTTGATAGTCATCAAACGTGGAGGCATGGATTCCCTCTCTTTGTTTCTTTTTCTTTTCCGTAAATTGGATTTTTATTTATTTATTTAAATAATAAAAAGGACCCTAATTTTGGTTTTGTTTTAATTTTTTTTTTTTTAATTTTTATTTATTTAGTGCGGAAGGGTGGTGGTGGTGGTGGTGGTGGTGTTGATTGAAGGTGTTATTAATTAAAAAATAAAATAAAAATAAAAAGAAATGAAAAGGGTTCGGAAGCGTGAACGTTGTGTTGGAGAATCCACAACCAAATTGGCTCCACGGCTTTATATCCCACGCGCCCCCACCACACTCATGTTTGCATCACACGCGCTCTTCATTCTTTTGATTTGCAAATATTAATAAAATTTCAAATAATAATATAAAAGATAAAAATGGTTAATATTTTGTTTCATAAATTACCTTTTTAACATTTAAATGTATTTTAAAATCATTAGTTTGATTAATACTCTATTTTTAAAAAATTTTAAAAATATTTTAAAATTTATAAAAATAATTTTAAGGCTATATCTATATTT